AGAGAGAGAGAGAGAGAGAGAGAGAGAGAGAGAGAGAGAGAGAGAGAGAGAGAGAGAGAGAGAGAGAGAGAGAGAGAGAGAGAGAGGCTAAATGACAAAATTGAAATATGGTTCAAATTGAGGCTGCAGCCTATTTCGTAGCTGGAATGCTTTTTTTTAATTTTATTTAGCGTTTTTTTCTGGAAAAATCACAACAAAATCTAAAAGTACTCAAATTTTCAGGTTTTTTCACACATTCTTCTGAGAGTGAGAACTCACTGAATTTATAGTACTTTTTAAGTTGGCCCACACATGGTTGAGTGGCAAAAATGGAAAATGTGCCGAATCGGCGCGACGATTATTTTTCGGTCTAAATAATTTGTTTTTTAATATTCTAATATTTTTCCTAGAAAGAACACGACCTCATCTATGGATTCTCAAAATTTCAGATTTTTCAGCGGGTTCCTCCGAGCACAGAAAATCGCCAAAGTTGCCGCTTGCAAAACGCCTGTTTCGTTGCGCCTGACCTCCCTGGCCTCAACGCCTGGGCCTGAGGGCCCTTTTGTAGTTCACATGCCCTCACTTCGTTTTGGGGTCTGCTTCCACCCGTGGACCCGTCCAACGCCCCCCACCTCTTTTTGGGGTCCACTTCCACCCGAGGACCGGTCCTTCCTTTTTCCAAAAGTCCCGGTTCTACCAGAGCTAGCTGTAGGTAGTCTGCAATTTTGGCAAGCACCGGTCCCCAAAATTTTTTTGCCCCCTAAGAAACCACTTTGCGTCCTGGTCGCCCGCCACAAAAAATGCGACACCTTGACACAAACGCCGAACCCCACTCGACCGCAGCCTCAGGGTTGTGAACTACCTACAGCTAGCTCTGGTAGAACCGGGACTTTTGGAAAAAGGAAGGACCGATCCTCGGGTGGAAGTGGAACCCAAAAAGAAGTGGGGGCCGTTGGACGGGTCCACGGGTGGAAGCGGACACCAAAACAAAGTGAGGGCATGTGAACTACAAAAGGGCCCTCAGGCCCAGGCATTGAGGCTCGTCTTGTCAAAACATGGAGGTCAGACGCAATGAAACATGTGTTTTGCAAGAGGCACCTTTGACAATTTTCTGTGCTCTGAGGAACCCGCAGAAAAATATGAAATTTTGAAAATCCATAGATGAGGTCGTGTTCTTTTCAGAAAAAAATATAAGAATATTTAAAAAAAAACATTTAGACTGAGAAATAATCCTCGCGCCGATTCGGCACATTCCATTTTTGTCACTTAACCATGTGTGGGCCAACTAAAAAAGTACTCCAAATTCAGTGAGTTTTCACTCTCACAAGAATGCGTGAAAAAAATTAAAAATTGAAGTACTCGTAGATTTTGTTGTGATCTTTCCAGAAAAAAATGCTAAATAAATTAAAAAAAATAGGGACGCCCATCAAAGCCCAATCACCTCATTAGGCCCAACAGGGCTTGTTGCTATGCTATGAACTTAGTTCGCAGCCCTAAGGCTGTG